GCAGGAGAAAACAGTCTAAGCAAAGGTATGGGTTACTTAGGTATGTTGGGGGCCAGGTACACTGATTGGGCTGGAGTGAGGGGAAGGGCATAGGAGGGGGACATTGGGTCTCTTCAGGGTTCTTAAGACAATCCCGTTAATGGGGCAGTATGTGTCGTATGCCTAGTAGAGTGCCAGCATGTGTGTTCCTCAGTGAGTGTCCTCTTCTGAAGACCGGTGAAGCTCCGGTCACCGCTTCCAGTGTTCTCTGCTTTTGTTTAAAGGAAATTCTTGCCCATCCTGTCACAAAAATGGAGTATATTCAGGGGGCATTTAGCATAGCACTTGGCAGGTAACCCAGAGCCTTGTTTTCTGTCTCCAGACTGCTCTGTGCTGGCTTGGCGTCCCCCTCCTGCCGGCCCGACCGTTCAGTCTCTGGGTTGCTTTCTATCCAGTTACTTCTGTGCATCTTCCCCACTGATTATGGGCCCCTGCAGTTGGAGGTGACACCCCCATCCCCGCTTCCCTGTGTCCATCCTTCCCAGCCAGTGTGTAAGAGGACTGGGACCTTCTCATTGTCCTTTTGCTCTATTGCAAACCCGGTGCTGTGCTCTGGGGCCTCCCCAAACCCTCTGTCCTTTTGAGGCCCATCAGGGTGACCCCTAGATGCAGAGGGGCCAGTTGTTAGCACCACCTGCATGGGAATTGGGGGTGTGGCCTTCCCCGGTCTCCGCCCACCTCTGAGCAGAGGCTGCGGGGTGGGGCACCTGCCACCCTTGGGACAGAACCCAGCGCTCCCTCTTCCTGGGCCGCAGGCGCTTGAGCGTGTCCTGGGCCTGCTAGGGAATGGCTGGGTCTCCCTGTGGGAGCCTGCTGTTGGGAAAGGCCCTCATGGGACTCTCTCTCACAGGACCGCTAGCCAGCACTAGCGTTTTGTCCTCGGTTAAACGGGAGGAAGAATCTTCAGATGGGGAGTCACCCACCTCCCCTCCCAGGGATATCCTGCCCGGCATGGGGCCAGGTGAGTGAAGGGAAGAGGCCCCGTGGCCACAGCAGAGCCTCGGAGGAACTCGGGGGCCCTTTGGGAGTGGGTAGGGGTTGCATGATGGACCTGGTAAGGGGTTTCCTCCTGAGGGCTCCCTCCCTCACCCCCCAAGTATTACTTCCCTTGGGCTCTGGGGACCCAGATCACCTATGGTCCTGTTCCTCCCCCATCGTGGTCTGGTCTGGCTGGAAAGGTGCTGCTTAAAACAAGCTGTGTGCCACCAGGTGTGGCCTCCTCACAGCCTCTCGCGTCTTGCAGCTGGAGTCTGGAGGCCTGTGATTTAAATTTAGCTCTTCCTGCTTAGAGTCTGTGTGTTTTCTATAAACTGGGCTTACATCCTGATATGCAGGAAAAAAGAAAGCGATTATTGCCTATTTTGGCCCAATAGAAAGGGATCCAGCTGTCCTCCCATTCCATTCTGGTACCTGCTTTGGTGGGAGGCAAGCATGAGATCTGGGCCCGCCTTGGGGTTGTGGTGTGGCTGCAGATGGGCTACAGATGAAGAGATGTGGGAGCCTTGGCCTTCACAGAGAAGAGGGCCTAAGACCCTCACTAATTTCTAAGCCCAAGACCACCATGGGGGCCTCTTCAATGCAACAAGGTTTTACCTCAAAGTTTACATGATTCTTAGACTCTTAACGATTCTGTAGCTGGAGGACTAAATTAAAAACTGTGGGTCATTTCTGACATAGAAATAAAGTTCTGCCATGAGTTAATTTGTGAGGATTACTGGGTGAGCGGTGAGCAGAGAATCCAAGGTCTGCTGTCAGGTGCTGCCCTGGAGGTTCACCAGTTAAGGGCTCTCTTCCTCAGTGGCCTCCCGGCTTGCAGTTTAAGCTCAGGCTTCAGCAAGAATAGAAATCACTCTTGTCTTGGACCTTGGAAGTTGCCTAATGAGGGCTGAAAGTTTTCATTCTAATAGGCAGCGGGCAGGGTTCTCTGTCACCGTTGAGCAGACTGTGCGGTCTAGAAGCTGAGGCTGCCAGATCCTGGGGGATGGTTGGCTGGCTCCAGAGGAAACCAGAGGTGACCAGCAGCTGGAGGAGGTGGGAGAATGCCGGGTTCCAAGGCAGGGCTCTGCGGCCAGGACCGGCCTCCTCAGCGCCAGGGACCCCTGGAGCTGCTGCTGAGACCACCTGTCGCTGCCTGAGTCCCACCTCAGAGTCAAGTGTGACCCACACTGAGGCCCAGCCGGGAAGCCGAGGACTCGTGCCTGCTTTCTGTCAGGGCAGGTGGTGGACGCTCGGTGTGGGTTTGTTACTTGGCTGCGTAGCTCTGAGGGGGGCTAAGTCACCCACCACCTCCAGGCCCGGAGCCTCTTACCTAGTCTGGGGTGGCCCGCAGGGCTCATCGTCATTCACAGATCAGAACTAAAGTCGTCAGAACTTTGGGGGTCCCACATGGTCAGCATGCCGCAGGGCACAGGACGTAGGCCTCCCTTTGTCTGCCTTTCATTTTCCCACCCATCTGCCTCCCGGGTCTGAGCCCTGATCCCAGCTCCTGGGTTTGCAGCAGTGTTTCCCTGCTCTGGCCGGGAGCGCTGGGAGGAGGAGGGGCCCGGGAAAGGCTGGGGGCGGGCGGGGCTGGTGTGGCTGGAGCACGCCGGGAAGCCAGGACTGGGTCTGTGGCCCGGGTGGGGGCCGGCGGTGTGGTCCGCTTGAAATCAACGCAGACTCCGTTTGCCAGGTGGTGGCGGTATGGTCATCAAGACGGAAGCACAATCTGAGGACGAGATGATGCCTGAGCAGCTCTACCTGGGGGAGTCCCCGAGCCAGCCAGAGTGTAGACTCCCCAAAGGGCCCAGGAGCAGGACCGGGGGTTCTGGCCGGCTTCACTCGGGGGCAGCGCCCAGGGCGCGGGCAGGGGACCCTCTGCCACCGGGGGCACCGGGGGCGGGGGGCGAGGCGCCTCGCGTCCTCCCCCGCCGGCGAGAGCGGGCCTTCCCCTGCCCTGACTGCGGACAGAGCTTCCGCTTGAAGATCAACCTGACCATTCACCAACGGACCCACGCGGAGGAGGAGCAGCGCGCGGAGGCCCGGGGCGGCTCGGCCTCCGGGGCCGGGGTACGTGCCCAGCCCGCGCTGGAGCCTGGGGAGGTGGTGGTGCCTGGCCCCGTCATCCGCTGGCTCCCAGAGGGGCCCGAGGGCCGCCGCTGCTTCGTGGGGCGGAGGCCGGTGGCCGCCAAGGTGTACCACTGCAGCGAGTGCCTGCGCTTCTTCCAGCAGCGGAAGAGCCTGCTGCTGCACCAGCGCCTGCACACCGGCGACAGCCAGGGCTGGCCCGCCTGCCCCTACTGCGGCAAGGCCTTCCGCCGGCCCTCGGACCTCTTCCGGCACCAGCGCATCCACACGGGCGAGCGGCCCTACCCGTGCCCCGAGTGCGGCCGCGCCTTCAACCGCAACCACCACCTGGCGGTCCACATGCAGACGCACGCGCGCGGCCAGGGCGGCCCGCACGTTCCGGCTCCCCCCGCCCGCCTGGGCAGCCCGCCGCTGGCACGGCCCAGCCCCTCCAAGGAGGGCTGACTGGGCAGGAGCTTGCGGGGCACCCCCTGCTCCAGGACCACCTCTCCACCGGCGGAGCCCTTCCACTTGTGCCTGATGCTGGTTCCTCCTTCTGGGATGGCTTTGGAGAGATCTTTTTACATGGGAAGCAGTGGCCTTTTTGATGACAGTGTATGTGTGCCCGATGCCTCAGTTTCCTAAGTTTGTCGCTCTGCTGCCTTTTCTACATTCCTGACTTATACAGGACCCACTAAGGCTTAGGGGATGCCAAGCTTTGGTGGGGGCCTTTGACGGGTACCATGGACAGGCAACAGGACCAGAGGCCATGGCCTTTCTGGTAGGGGGTGTTCGAGACACGGAGAGCCTGGGGTTTGATTTTATACACAGAGGTCTTGGCCTTCTGTCAACACGAGAAACAGCAGAGTGGACAGACAGCCTGAAGAATAGGCACTGGAAATTTGAGTTTTCTACTGTTATTTTGAAACTTTTTTTAATGGAGATTTTCTTAGTGCTTCTGTAAGTATTGTGTGTGGTTGTAAAGGGGACCAAGAACTCCTGAGGGGCAGGGATTATTCTGCCACCTCCTTGTGTGTGGAGATGGCAGAGGGACTGCCCAGACCAGCCTGGGAATGCCTGTTGATGGGGGTGCCTTGGCTGCTGCCCTGGAAACCAGGTGTCTTCCCGGGTGTGTGTTCCTTGGCCTAGACTGATTCCCAGTATTCCTTGTCCTTTCCCCAGTGGGTGTTCACATCCATGATTGACTTTGGTAATCAGCTGAGAGTGGGGAACTGCAGCCTGGAGTGGATGACAAGGTCTCAGTGTTCACGGGTGTGCACGCTCCATGGACTGGACCCCACCTGACACCTGGGGGGTGGGGGAGGTCAGGTGCAGAGCGGGCCCAGGAAGTTCCTCCCGAGAGGAAGATCCTGGTCTGAGTGAGGCTGGCCAGCCCACATGGACTGCGGGGCTGCCCGGCCTGATATGTCACATTGAAGGAGGGGGTTGCCTTCTAGAACTTGGGGCTCATAGCAGAGTTAGGCCAGGAGATCTATAGGTGAATCTTTTAACCATCTCCATCCTCGTGTTACTTGTCTGTCGAAGGTGGTAACGACCCCAGTGCATCCTACCTCACCTTAGAGTTGTCAGGGTCATAATAGGTTTAGAGGCAGCGGGACAAACAGGAAGCCTGATTTCGACCTTCCTTTCAAGTTCAGGGCCCCCTTTCTCTTTCATGTTGATCTCCAGCCCTCTTCCCAGTCAGAATCACTCAAGAAGGACCTTTATTTTCTGGAGTGAGTGGAAGGTCCCATGGGTGCAAAGTGAGGTAAGACTTTCCCTTTGGGCTATATCCCTCTGGAGCCTTTTGTACCTCAGTGGAACAAATTCTCACCAAAGCAATGAGGTTTAAACTGGAGGATCGGGCTATAGCATTGGGCCTCACGGAGAAGTCTTGATGGCAGCTAGCTTCTTGTGCCTCTTAAACCACACTTTGGGTGCTCCCTATAGACCAGCCCTTGGTCTGGGTGATTTTGAAGCTGGAGTGATGGGTCCTCAGCTCTTCTGATTGTTGTCTTATTTATCTGGCACTATGTGAAGTGTCCAGCGTTCAGGCCTGCTTCCAGGTGCCTGGGTCTCTGGCTGTGCCACTTCCTCTTGCCCCCCCTCTGACCCTCATTCCTCTCCTAAAGTCCTGAACAGGGTTGGGGGCAGATGGAAACATTGCTGTCGTCTCTGGGGCAAGGGTATACACGTCAGTGACTGCTCAGCCAAGCTCCTCTGGGCTTGGGAGAGGTGCCCCCCTCCCCTGCCATAGATTCTGTTTGCCTGTTCTGGTATCCCCCAGCTCTTGCCAGGGCCCCGCAGTCAGGGCTGGGCTGTCAGCAAGTGCTCAGACAGGATGTGGTGCTAGTGAAGCTGCTGAGAGCTTAGCCCTCAGCTGCAAGAGCTAGTCTCAGGTGTTTCCATGGAAGGCCTCAGGGCTCAGAGTTTCCAGGCTTTTCTAATGCTTAATGCCTCGTGTAAATACGCAAACTGTTAACAGAAGCAGCAATCACTGTGCAGTGGAGCTCCTCTTCTTCCAAAGCGTTCAATGTGCCGGGCTCCCGGCTAGGCCCTGTGAGTTTGCCTGGCACTCAGTAGGTGTTCAAAGGACATTCTTTTTTTTTGGTATGCGGGCCTCTCACCGTTGTGGCCTCTCCCGTTGCGGAGCACAGGCTCCGGACGCGCAGGCCCAGCGGCCATGGCTCACGGGCCCAGCCGCTCCGCGGCATGTGGGATCCTCCCGGACCGGGGCACGAACCCACGTCCCCTGCATCGGCAGGCGGACTCTCAACCACTGCGCCACCAGGGAAGCCCCAAAAGACATTCTTTACACTAAAATGAGTCAGCGGAGGCTGCGTGACCTGGGAGGCTGGAGCCTGGTTTGACCCCAGTCTCACTCCCAGCTCTGGGTCTCGGGTTCCTCATTTGTAAAGCAAAGTTGGGGTTCTGGTGTTAAAAGGCCCTTAAGAACTGTGACGGTGGTGGAACCTTGGCCCCATCAGTGCTCAATAAATATGTTGGACTCTGTACGTGCACGTGACCTGGTTCCTGCTCTCTGGGAGTCCGCGGCGGTGCGGAAAGTCCCCGCCCGCCACGCGGGTGGGCTGCTCGGCCGAGCTCGGGTCCGCATTCATGCTTGAGAGCGGCCCTCGCGCCGGGCGCTCCCACGGAACTGCCGCCCACCCCTGCCCCGCGCCCATAGAGCCCTGGCGCCCACAGAGCCCTGGCGCACGCCGCGGGGGCGGGGCCTCCGGGCCGGCCAATGGGGGGCAGGCTCCGGGCTGCCGGGGTCGCCCGCGCAAGGGGTGGGGGCGGAGCTTCCCGGTCTGGCCAATGGAGAGCCGCCTCCGGGCGGCGGGGTGGGGCCCAGCTCGTGGCCCTTGGCAGCGCTGCTGCTCGTCCGGGTCCTTTCTTTCCCGCGCGTCCGGAGCAGCCCGGCCCGACGGCCGCGAGAGCACGAGAGAGCTTGCAGAGAGGCCGGGCGCTGGCCTGCGTGGGCCGCCCAATGGCGGCGGCGGCGGCGGCGGCGGCGGCGGCGGCGGCGGCGACTCCCCCGCCCGGCCGGACAGTGCAGGGCCATGGCCGAGGCGGCCCGGCTTCGGTGAGGGCGGCACTCACAGAGGATGTCCTGCCCTCACCCCGCCCCTCCTGGAATTGGGGAGTCTCAGCCTGGGTGGAGGGTCTAGGAAAAAGACGCTTGAGGCCGAAGGGCCTGAGGGAAGCTGTCTGAGGTCTCACGATAAAATCCCTTCTCCTTTCTTGGCCCCGGTTTGCTCGCATTTAGACTTAACCACAATGTTTCTGAGGTTTCCGCCAGCCCTGAGGTTCTGTGACCCGGCTCAGGGGCTCAGGGTGGGTGTGTGGGGCGGATGGGCTGTGACCATCCTCACTCCAGAGACACTCCAGGGCCCCCCTCCTGGACCTGTCTTTCAGCCCCCATCCCCTAAAATGATCATCTCAGGGAGGCCGTGACCCCATTCTCATCCCTTTCCCAAGCTAAGATCGGTGCTATTGTCTGGTGACTTTATTTCCACTACAGTCTAGGCCCTTGGCTTCCTCCCGTCAGCAGTCTTGCCTCTGGCTGTGAGGGTCGTGTAAAGCTCTTCTAGGTATGAACTCTGATTCCTGTCAGGATGTATTTGGGTGTCTGCTCACTCTTTTCTGAAATTCCCCAGGGTGTCCCTCCTATTGCTGCTAGGAGGGGGTCTGCGTCATAGAGGACTTCGTAGAGGTTAGTGTCTCAGGCTCAAGTTTGAGGCCATCCCTGGCCTGTGTGACAAGAGCTATCAAGATGAGATTTTTCTATGTCTGTGAAGGCAGAGGAGTCATCTGGTGGACATAACTTTGAGATGGTTTTAGATACATTCCTGGATGCCAGATTTGTGACAGGGCACTGTGGGGAGATAAGCTGTTGTGTCCCTAATCTGTGCAAGTGGGGTCTGCCTCCTCTAGGCTACACCTTATACTGGTCAGAGACCAGACTCAGAAGTGGAACAGTTATGCTGTGAAGGAAGGAAGGGACAAGTGTGTGGTGACCAGTCCCTAGCACATGTGGGACACTTGGCTAAGTGCTTTTATGGAGAAGGTGTTGGGGGGACCTCAGGTGCACAGAATTGGATTAATCACAGTCTTTGGTTTATAAACATTATGGTCATTGGTCCACAGCCTTTATATTTGTTTTAGTGATGTAATAACGTGCCAATATAATGCTCCCTGAGTGCTTTTCCGTACCTACAGTGCATCTCGGCCTCGCAAAATGCACAGGATTCAAATGGCAGGATAGGTGTTGAGTCAAGTTCTAGCAGAGTTCCATTGCCAGGAATGTTTCCATTAAATGTCAGCTGTCCCCACTGAGGCATTCATGAATTTCTTATTTTATTACTTCTAGTAAATACACGGTACATTTTCCATCTCCCGTAGCAGGATATTCTTTGAAATATTTCTTTCTTCTGACTACTCTTAAATGCTGGCTTTTGACTTTCTCTGGCTCCATCACCTGGCAGCTAGGACCTGGCCTCCTAGTGTGGAGACAACCCTGAAGCTGGTTGACAAGGCACCTGGGTCACGGGGACCTGATATCTCAGGCAGGTTAGGAGGTCACGTACTAGTAAATGTCAGGGTGGAAGTGCCGGAGAAATCACATCACCAAGGCCAGGACAACAGGGCCTCGCTCACCTCTGTGCCCAGGAATGCGGGCAGTAGGTTTGCTCTAGAACACCCAGGAACTGAAGTAGCAATCTGTGTGTACATTGGTCCCCTGAGAAATTTTCTGGATCTCACTCACTTCCTTTCTCCTGCTGGGCTGTGTTCTTGGGTGAAGAATTGGTTGTTAAATAACTGACTAAGTTTGTACCACTATTATGTGGTAGGGCTGGGATTCAAATTCCTTATACTGACTGTCCATTTATGATGGTAATGCTTTGTCATACCATTTATCATTACCCCTGGGTCTTGGTTCAAGATTCTTCCCACAGGAGCTC